ATCGAAAGAAAATGTCTAATTTCTCTAAAAAAAATTAATTAATTTAAATTATGTTTTTAATGATAATTATAATAGAGACAGCGGGAGCCAAATAGGCTCTTTCTTTAAAAATAAAACAGTTTAAAAAAAATACTTGCTTTCTTTGGAATAAATATTTTGGTTCACGTCCCTTATTCTTACATTTTAGTCATTTTGAGTTTTTTATTTATTTTTTCCATTGAGAAAACCATATGTATTTTATGAATTTAAATAGGTAAATAAAACTCCAATTATTCTAGATTTTTATAAAAAATATATTTCGAACTCAAAACTTACTATATAAATTTTAAATTTTTTGTAATCATAACATGTTTTTTAAAAACCATTTTAAGTTATTTTGCTCCAGATTATAACATAGATTTTGATATACATTATAATATCATGAGTTTAAATAATATAAATTCGGTGAAATCTAACATTTTTTTTATGGTTTGTATTTTGGTTTTTTTAAAATATTTTTTAATTAAACTTACGGATATTAATAGAATTGCTCAAAATTCATTTTAAATTGATCCGAGATATATACATTATATAAGCAAATGTGTGTGGGATATTTATTTTTTTAACTAAATAATATATATATACACACATTAATATTAACATTAACATTAACGTGACACACACATATATACTATTTATATTTTTATTATTTAATATCTCAAATATATATATTTTTTGTTTTTTATTAAATAATAAATAGTACCGGGTAATAGATGGATACCGAAACTCAATATATAAACTTTTTAATTGGTAAATAATAAATATAATAGAAATACAATAGAAATGATTTATAAGTAATCTTTGACATTCCCAAATAACATTCATACAGCTCGTTATTTTCTTTTTCAGAATCTCTGTCACCCCCGCAAAACATCAAGATATTAATGAGAAAATCATGAATTGGTCCTTGTATCTTTGAGTAGCTAATAAGCTAGTCTCTCTTGTTGAAAGACCTCAATTCTTGTGAGCCTATTTTTTTTAATTATAATTTAGACTAATTTATATATATATTAACTAATTTTTTTAAAATTAATAATTTTTAAATTAATAATTTTTAAAAAATAAATTTAAAAACTAATCAGATAAGTTGTACCCTTCAGAGTTTAACCTCTTATTGCTATACAACTTAGTTATCTAATTAAAAAAATTTAAAAAACATCATTACATGTGATAAGTAAATCCTTAAAATCCCACAAAAAAAATATAATCTTGATTAAGGTATAAATTAATTTTAATATACTTCAATTTTTTAATTAAAAACATAGTCGAAGATGACCAAATAATTGAATTATGATCTCTGAAATTAAAGAGAATAACTTGTGAATTTTTAAGCAACATAGGGATGAAGCACAATATACAAACATGATAAATCACAAAAAGCAATGAGTTGTAGGGATATTTTCGTCAATTGCAGTGATGTTGACGGTGGCTGCTGAAAAGATGCCAGGCTGGACACTTTTGTTGACTGTTTTCTTGTCGTCGTTTTCTGGTGGAACCCGCCCAAGGTAGATTCCCAGTCGCTTTCCGGGGGCGCGTGATTTAAAATTCCCAAACTGCCCTCCTGCCATTCAATTATCCCACCTGAATTGCTCAAGACAAAGGCGGATACGACGATGCGACTGTCAATTGGAGGGGAAGAAATTTCTGAAGAAAAAAAAAATCGAAACCAAGAATAAAATAAAATAAAATTCTATAAATATTTTTCTAATTTTTCTATATCACCCAAGCATACACCAATATTTAATTAAGGTGTTGGTCCACAATGGAAGCATAATAAATTTTAAAATTACCATGGATTCCACCAAAGTAAAGCATGAATTTTAGGATTCGTGACGTGCTTATTAAAAAAATAAAAAACTAAGACGTTTTTATAGGAAAAATATTATTAATTGATTAATAGAAGCCTTCCTTAACATTTCATTATATTACATGCTTATTTTTAGGCTGAGCGAAACTCAATAAATAATAAAAATAAATTTCTAAGCCTATGCCTACTTTTTCTATTTATTATTAAAAATCACAAAATGATTAAAAATGGTAATAAAAATATATAAATTTAATTCAATAAAATATCCCAAATAATTGATAAAGAGTAAAGACTTCTATATACAGGCGATCTAGTGCTATTTTCTTCACTTAAGAGATTTATCTACAACTTAAAATTTAAATGATATATATATATATATATATATATTGATTAATTGTAATTATCTACTTTACAAGTAGCCCAAAACTCCTAAATTCCATCAAAAAATTTAATTTAAATTAATTTAATTTCCGTTATAAAAAAAATTTGGATCTACCATTAGCTAATTTGGTGAAACATCATCAATCCACGACTCCACGCTCATATTATTGATGATCATGAAAATAAAATAGTATGAGCTTGGAAAAAAGAAAGGACTGCTATCAAAGTGGAGCCCTCCGCTGCTAGCTGTGCAAATCTCTAAGTGCTTCAAGCCTGACCACACCGATTTCTTTTTATTAAATTTAGAAAATAAATAAAGAAAAGATGGACTAAATAAGTAAGAGACAATTCTCTCTCTCCACCGATTTCTTTTTATTAAATTTAGAAATTAAATAAAGAAGAGATCGACTAAATAATTAAGAGACAATTATATATTTATATATATATTGATCTACGTATCATCCATGCATTTAAGAAGACCAGTTGGATCCAATCAAGATCCACTCGTGTGCATGGGATTTGGAAAATAGTCGCCTAATGCAGTGTTCAATGAACTGAAACCCCACATGGATTCTATCCCTCTTGCTGCTATCAGATTGGAAGATGCATGACAGACACTATGACAGATTCCTTATGTTAGATTTGCGTTCATGACGATAATCTTTTTTGCTTCTCCAGAGCTCCATTTTTCTTTGCTGTTCATGTGATGTGTGTTGTTTTGTCATATATCGTCTTGATTGGCTTCAAAGTTCAATGTCCCATTGCTGGAAAATGACAGGCTACAACTCAAAGTTTATTGCAAGTTCTCTGCATTTTGGATCCTTAATGTTAGCTATTGTGTCAATTTTTTTCACATTTAATCAAAACCCATTTGGAAATTACAAAAAAAGTGTGTGTCAATGGGGAATGATAAGATAAAATGAAGAGAAATCAGTTCTGTAAACAAAAGAAATGTTCTACAATTTAAGAAATTTTTATGGATGGAAAAAAAACTTAAATAATACAAAATCCGACCTGCCGGATTCGAACCAGCGACCTAAGGATCACAGCAACAACTACAGTCCTCCGCTCTGCCAACTGAGCTAAGGTCGGTTTGTTAAAAGTGTTCACTCAACATGTTATTTGTATATAATATTACATGTGGTTTTTCCGAGTTTATCTGCCCGGGATACCAGAGATCAATAGCCAATGATATATCTCTGTGGGTCGAAACTTATCCTTTGAGAATTAATTTTATTTGGGTAAAAACATCTATAATTTCATCTGTAAGATATCTTAGTATTATTCAAAGTCACCATGGTACCATCTAAATTTAGATTCAGACAAAGCTTACTTTTGAACTATTATCCCAATTAGAATTGCTTGAAGTAGAATTCTGTTTACAAGTCTATTTTTTCATGAGCCAAGGTACATGGTGTTATTAGAGCTTGATTTTTTTTGCATTTTAAAATTATTTTTAAAAATATTTGAATTTTGTTTTTGTTTCAAATTATTTTTTTAATATTTTTAAGTTATCTTGATTGATATACTGATATCAAATATAATTTTTTAAAAATAAAAAATATTATATTAATATATTTTTAAATAAAACACTTTTTAAAAAATAAATAAATATGTAAGGTGATAGTTATCTGGAACTTTGTACCAACAATCATCATATACTGAATCCAGAACACAAATAGCCATGTTGCTCAAAACCAGGCTTTGGCCCAACAATCATGTCCTAAACCCATGAAGAATAATCAACTCATACAAGTTAACAGTTAACTCCATTAGTACCCATGTCATTTTGATCATTTTAATATATTGTTATTAAAAGTTTAAAAATAAAAATAAAAATTGTTTAATTAATTTTAAAATTAAAAAATATTTTTATAAAAATAATATTCACTAAACATATACTTAACCATGCTTTGGTTAAATGACGTCTCTTAACCAATAAAGAAAAATATACGTTAAGGATTCTCTTAACCAATAAAAAAAAATACATTAATCACTATTATACCTAAGGATTGAAGGAAGATATCTAAAAGTTACTCATTTCTTACTATTTTTGTAGCGACATTATACAAGTTTAGTCACTAATCATTATTTTTTTTAGTTGCTATAGACCCACCTCTTCATTACTAGTTCTCCACTAGTATACAACTTCCAAAAATTTTAAAATATTAAAAATAATATTGAGAATGTAAAAAATATTTGATAAATTTTAAAATTTCTTAGCCCGACTATTTATTTATCACAAGTTTTTAATTAAATGATGTCAAAACTAATTTAATATGTAAATTGATTGATTTTATAAGTTTAAAAATAATTTAAATAATCACTAAACTATTAAAAATATTTTTATAAAAATATTATAAACCAAACATATACTTAACCATGCTTTAATCAAACGACGTCTCTTAACCAATAAAAAAAAAGTAGACGTTTAGGATTGGAGAAAGATATATAAAAGTTACTGAGTTTTTACTATTATGACATTATTCGAATTTAGTCATTAACCACTATTTTGTTAGTTGCTATAGTGATTTGTTCGAAAGTACTGATTACATTATTGGATTTTGAAACATACAAGTTTTTTTAATCAATGGTATTATACCAAACATCGTTGAAGTACAGCAGGCATTCTGACCTCACCAATGTTTTCATGTGGAGACACATTCATATGCATAGTGCAAATGTGTCAATATATTCCACATAAAGACGCACTCGGAATTCTATCTTTGTAGCAGCGCATTCGTGTGGGCATGACATGGTGCAGATATGTCTAATTCCATAAAGAGACCCACTCAGGCATCAAGATTATAGCTCCGGGCATGCTTTGATTGAGAAATTTTTACACTGAATGACTTCTTTCAAGGTTTAACGGCCCAAGAAACGAATCTGGTTATAAACATCCTTATTCCAGAACTCGCAGATTAGAGCATGCATAAATAGTTGTAACATAATCAGCTTAAACTAGCTAGCCAAAGGTCATCTCTCCCAAAAAACAAACTTAAGGGACTTGCCTCTCATCTTGATCTTCATTGTTTGGAAACGTCAACCATTCATCTGTAGATATTGAGGTAAGCTGGTCATGACTTGATTCTTCAAGCCCTGAAACATTAATCTCACACTGACCAAACACTCTAGGATTACTGATCATTTCTGCTTCATCTTTAAGACATGGGGTATTACTATTACCATCCAAGGTCTTTAAGAACCCTAGCCACCAACTATACGAAGCAGCTTGATTTTCTCCCCACTCAAATTCTGTACTTTCCATTGAGGGTGGTGTTGTCAGAGCTGTTGTTGTAGTAGTAGTAGACCAGACAGGCTCAGGGGTTGGCAAAGTATCCGTCAATGAATAGCAAAGGTACTGAGAATTTCTAGCAAAACAAGACTTATTATTGATGCCATAGTTACTGTAATTATTACCTAACAAAATGGTAGGATCCCTTCTTGAAGCGCCGGATGAGGATGCGGACGGGGATGAGGCTGACGATGATCTATGAAGGTGCAAAGCATGAGCAATCTCTCTTCTTGCTTCACCCATGTTGATGACACGATCTTGGGTGTTAGTCTTTCTAGTATGAGACCTCCTTCTCATGGGCCTTCTTGGAGGATCACTCTCTAGTGATGAACCCATATTGTCCATTGCTATCTTCTAGTTAGCAGGATTGAGTCCTTCTTTCCCCTGTGCACTTGGACAAAGTTAAAATTCCCTTCGCTACTGCTAGAGGAATGTGCTACATGGGCCGGGGATATGACTGACAAATGTTTGGAGACTAAGATAAAAGCAGATAGCTAGTAGATGCGCAAGTGGCAAGAGTTGGCAAAAAGTTGACCAAAAAAAAAAGAAATTAAAAGGGAAAAATTGAGCAAGATAATAGAAGCATATGAGTTGACACGTATGGTGGAATCAATGGACACATCAAATCCTCTTTATGAAATTTAACTGCAAAGTCCTTGTCAATATAAATATGTGCTTACCAACCTTGTACTTCCTGCAGTAATTCTTTAAAGCTAGGGTTAATGAGGTGAGCAAGGCAGGTCGAAGAAGACCAAGGCAAGATGATCACAGCAGGACGCCACTACCAGGCGAGAGAGAATGGTGGAGGTCGATGAAAATGCATGGCGTTTGTGCTTGGTTCATGTAATTGGTAGACGCACGTTGGATTTTGCAAGCGACGTCATGGAAGAAGTTGGAGGACTTCCCTGAGATCCATTCCATTGACTTTGAAAATTTAAATTGTATTCTCTTCTTTTTAATTTGTTTTTATATATTTTTTGAGATGGAATGTGGCAATTTTAATGGAGGAATAATTTATTTTCAAAGTTTAAAAACTAACTAAAATATTATAATTATAAGACTCGCGACCCTATTTAAAATTTAACTTCCTGGGTTGACTCGCAGGTCAGCTAATCAACCAAAACTTTGATTAGTTAAAAAAAAAAAAAAAAACCTTTGAAACAGCCATGTCAATCCCGTAATCTATGAGCTATAATATTTCCCTGGTTTATTATGGAGAAAACCAATTTTTTATTAAATTAAAGCTGTTCTAATAAAAGAAAATATTATATTTTTTTCATATGAATTGAAGTTATTAAAATAAAATAATAACTTACCAGGATAATCAGTCGGAACTAAACTGGGTATTGTAGCAACAAAATATATTTCTTGTGTCGGTAATTCCACCATCCACGATTAAGATTACGCCCACTGTTTGTGAACGTGGACGCCAAAGGGCAGCCTTAGCTATATTATACCATGAGCCCTAAGAGCTAAGCCATTTAGGTTTGTTGGCACAATAATAAAGTTAATTAAACTATATCAGTTTATTTACTGAAAAATAATTTAATGAATAAAAAATAATAAGTAAAAAATAGATAATAAATATAAAAATAAAAATTAAAGTTAATATAAAAATTAAATTTTAAAGGATAAAATTCAAAACAAAATATATATAACAATAAAAAATTTAATAATTAAATTTAATATAATCAGCAAATAATATAATATTTTTAAATTTTTTATAATTTTTAAAGAGTGTTTTCATTCAAAATAAAAGAAAAATATCTTTTTTAAAAATTAAGTTAAACTTTTTTTACTAAAAATTATTTTTATTTAACTAAAAAGTTTTTTTTATTAATTAATTTTTATAATAACAAATAAATATAAAAAATTTTAAAAAATCATTTTTTAAAAATCATTTTTCAAAAAACTAAAAAATAATTTTTTAAAAATCACTTTTTCGAAAAACAAATTCATCCTAAATTTGTTTTTATTTGATATATCATAGTTGATTTAATGTTAATATCAGTAAATTAATTTTATAAGTTTATGGATTAATTTATAAAAAAAATTAAAATAAAAATTATTTTAAAAGCATTAAGATAAGATAATAGCATATTAAATAATAATACCGTCACCTTCCAACCTAGTTTATAGAATTAATTGTATTTAATAATTTTATTTTTATAAAATAATTTTTATTTAATTATATAATAAAAAATAAAATAAAAATTTATTGGAGAAAATGATGAAAATAAACTAAAAAGCAAAAGAATTGAACAAACTTAAAAACACATCAAAAAAATTGAAAAACAGGAAGCAAGCACTAACTGGCGCGATGGTGATGTTGCTCTGCAGAGCCTTAACCAAGAACGGATTCACCATCAATTCCTTCTCATCAATAGCTGCCGCTGGTTGTTGTGTTGTCTTCTCTGTCGAGAAACTAATTTTTTTGCAAGTTCCTTCCCCTCATTCTCCTGTTTCCTTGTGCAGAGAGAGAGGAAGGTAAGGGTAAGGAAGAGAATGGGGGATGTTGAGGGCTGGATTAATAAGAGGTCATGGTTCTTCAGGCGATGGCTGAGTTTTCTTCTCCACACGAAAAGAAAATGTAAAAAAGGATTAAAAAGAAAATAAATGAAAAATCAAGGAAGAGATCTTATTTGCTGTTGAAGTCTAAAGACAATGTGATATATAATCCACAGTAACCTCTACAGTTTTTTCGCTAATTTTAAGAATTTTAATTAATTTTTATGTTTATTGAGCTAATCTAATTAAGAACTCGTAATGATTTACTTGGTATAAAATGGATATTATTTATTTTTGTAGTGATAGAAACAAATTGTTATGCTGTAATAAATAATAATATTTAATAGTTTGTAACCTAAATATACTATAATTAATTATATCTTCGAGTAACCATAAAAATTGCCAAGAGTATTTATTATATAGGATGGCTAAAAGGTTCATTGCCCCAAACTATTTATCATGCTAGGCCTTATTTGGGAAACAAAACCCTAGCCCATGTAAACGACTTCCTTAATCCAACTGCCATGATCATGATCCTGAACTGTTGCCGCCCGTTTCTGTAATTTAAGCATCAAATTATGCACAGTTTTCCTTCCAAATTATTCAATAATTTGAAAAGGAAAACCGTGCTTAATCCTCTGGCTTTGGCAAACATAGGCAAAGAAAAAAAAATTAAAAAAAATTCAGAGATATATATATCTCACTTGATTATTCCATGCGCATGTAATGGATCATCATCCAATCCCATTTCCAGGTGATTGTAACTTTTTTAATTATTTTTCCAGAAAACGTTTCCTGTAAATAATTCTTTTTTCCATTGAATCCCATGCATGCTTCTTTGGAATGCTCGCAGGGAAAACACTGGCTTTGAAACCCAAGACTACCCGCAAAATTACTGGTGCATCGACAAGAACTATGGCCAAAAAGGAGCCTCCAATTCCCAAGTAAATCAATGCTTATTATGAACCCAATTCCTTCTATCTCCACCTTCAAAGATCTTGAGTTTCATTGCAGTTTTCTTCGTTTTCCGTCTATCTTTTTTTCCAGGCAGAAGCGAGTACTGTTTGGTACCATTCGAAGCAGAAACATTCATGTCAAAACAGCAACCGAAAATCCAATTACCAAAGAACCCAAATCTATAACAAGAAGAGGAAATCCTAGCATAAATGTCACAACCAACCGATCAAGTTGCCAAGAAACCAGAAAGATTCAAGAAGAAAAGTATTGAAGCGCAGGAAAAGGTTCGGCCGAGTCTTTTGGAGCCTAGGACTCCGGTGGCTTCACATTCTATGATTGAGATCGAAGTTGCAGCAGGCACCCCTAATCATAGTGCGAAGTATTGTAGCAAATGCAGGTTTGATAAGCTTGAAACCGTTTCTTATTGGCTTGGTTAGATCAAATTGGCTGAATCAGTCGGCAAACATTTCGTTTCTGTTGCCTTTCTTTCGTCTTGCCTTCGATTCCAATGCTGCATAGCTGCCGCAAAAGTTGTGTTATTACAAATGATGAAGTGGGGAGCAACTTCCCACATAATTTGGGCTTCCATGGTTTGTGGAACTGGGTATCGACTTGAGATGTATGTGGGCTTGGTTGCTAGGCTTAAACGATGATGAAAGTTTCTTTAAAAACCAAGCCGAGAAACTTTTTAATATTTAAATCAATAAATATATATATATATAAGAAAAAATATGTAGAATAAATAGTTGTAGGAAAAATATTAAGTTGAGAACTTGTTCATTTATTAATAAATCAAAATATTTATAGATCTTGATTACATTATATTAAGTTGAGAACTTGTTCATTTATTGATAAATCAAAATATTTATAGATCTTAATTACAACAATGGCTCATCTTGGATATGAAGAATGATGTTACGTTGGATTGGTGAGAATGTCAATACTCATTGATTGCAATATCTGATATTATTATTGGTTGAGTCGTGGTGAATGTTAGTGATCTATTGGGTTAAATTGGCATTGGTTACTTAGAATAGAAAATGGTTTATGTTTGCTTGGCTAAAATGTCATGCCTGCATAGATTTTGCACTTGCCAAGAAATTTATAAAATATATTAGTTAATCATGAAAAACACTATGTGCATAATGTTTGGAAATATTACAGTAATTGTTTTTAAATTTTGTTTATTTAAAAATTATTAAAATTATATTTTTTTTATTTTAAAAAAATTATTTTTAACATTAACACATTAAAATAATTTTAAAATATAAAAAAATTAAACAAAAAAATAACAAGTTAACAAACATTATTCGGGACGTTTGATTGGTTTATGAATGCTACATTACATGTTCATTTTTTTATGCACAAAATTGTGTGATTTATAGAAATATTTGATGCAATTGAGAAATTTTGAAATTTATGTCAACTCTTTCAATTAACAATTCTCTTGAAAGGTTTTCAAGGTCATCCAAAATTCAAATATTCAAGTAAATCTGTTTACTAACTATTATTATAAAACATTGATAGGTTAAAAAGATTGATTCCTAAGCTAAATTTATTAGATTTTTATTAAAAAACATTTAAATAATTCAGTCAAAAATCCTGGTTGATCGATGATTTAGATTGATGCAGTAAAATCTAGTGAAAAAAATCTACTAACTTTCTTTTAAAAAAATAAAATGATGATATTTTAATTGTTTTAAGAAAATAAAATCAGGGGATTAACTTTTTCAATCTTTGTCGTGAATCAAGTTCAATACCTGTGGTTGAACATGCAACATCCAATGGACCAATGCCTAGGATTTTACGAGACAATGAATAATAGGGTTATTTATTTCAATTTTTCAAAGGTAGTTGGGCTCGAACCTCGAATAGTTTGGTACGTTGGAATGTCTTCGGTGCCATACATAATTGACCACTATTTTAGAATATATTTTTAGATCTCAGGGCCCCACACCCTGTCTCAAAAATTAATTATGCCAGGGCAGAGCTAGGTGCGTGGCCTAACAATTTAAAACCCATACGCTTTAGTAATGTTTAACTTTGACTACTTTTAAAAAAAAAAAATTAGAGATGTTAGGAACCGACTTAAAAAGTGATTTGCATAATCCATTGAATTAACTCGTGGATTAATCACCAAAATCTTTTTTCTAATAGCGTGTTTATTACTGTAATAATAGTTGATTTTTAAAATAATATTATTTTTTATTTTTAAAAATTATTTTTAATATAAGTATATCAAAATAATATATAAAAGCAAAAAAAATATTAATTTCTAGTAAAAAAAATTTAATTTTTTAAAAATATTTTTGAAAGGTAAAAACAAATAGAAAAAGCTGAAAATGATGTATATGTTAAAGTTTTTTAAAAAAAATTATTTTATTAAATTTATTTTTTAATTGTTTTAATATACAGAACATAAAAATAAATTTAAAAAAATATAGTATTTTAATATATTTATATATAAAAAAAAGTCACCACTACAAATTGAAAAAACATTGGAGTAAAGGGGACTCGAGCTGTCTTTGACCACCTATTCAAAGTCTCAAACTTGAGCTGACATTATATTAATTATAAATACTAACTAAAAAAACTTATTCACTCACAAATTTCATGTAAATTATTATAAATATTTTGGATTAACGTAAAGAACTTTATTTG